AGTGTGCTTGGTTGTCTGTCTCTAAGTGTAGCCCTGTGATAGACTGGTGACCTGTCCAGGGTGTCCCCTGCCTTCGCCCTAAGTCAGCTGGGATAGACTCCAGCCCCCCATGACCCTAATGAGGATTAAGTGGTGTATAGATAATGGATGGATGGGTTCTTACCTTTAGTAGTTCCTGAGATACTGTTGTTCAAACATTCTCAAATTTCAATGTGAGAAAAATCTGCTGGAAAAGGGTCAATGGGCAACTTTTTAAAAATATTTTTTACAGTAAAAAGTATTTTATATATCAAGGTAGAATTTCACAGACACCTTTTTAAATAGTCACAGTTTATGATAAAACGCTTCAAGCAGAGTAGAGATGGTGGAGCAGAAAAAACCTGATGATTTCTGATGAAATAACCCCGTAGAGGATGATTTTAATCAGATAAATGTGGTTTACTCACTAATAAAGAGAAATGTAATGAACAGTGTTGCTTCATTTCACTCCTTCTCTGTTCTAGTTGCAATGTGGTTGAAGGAAAGTTGGTCAAATCGTTAAAACACCAAATGACAGAGTGATGCAACTAAAGAAGCTTTTAATTTGTAAGATCTTTTTCTAGAAAAACAGAAATTAAAGACACACTGAGCTCTGCTATTTCCGCCCATTAATGTGTGTGCTGTGTCTCTATGGGTCAGAATATCTTTGTGCTCTCTCATAATGCTGCAGCTTTCCAAAAGAACTTCATTGTTTCTTAGTTTCCAGTCTGACTGACAGGAAATGCAGAAATGAGCTGCCTGCAAAAGACATTTTATTAACTGTATTAAGGATCTCCATCTGGGGAAACTTCCTGTCTGACCTGATCACCTGAAATAAGCATAACCAGAGTTTCAGTTACATTTACTGTCTCTTTATGGACTGAGGATTTGCTGTCACGCGTGTTGATTTGTCCGGTTGTGATGCTTTGTCACTTCTTGTGCTTCAGAGAGGAAATGAAGGCGGATCTGCTGCTGGTACCAGTCAGATGGTGAACAGCAAAGTGGAGAATGATCACATGATGCCTCCTGTCGCTGCAGAGAACCAACTTTAAATCAGTGTTTTTTAATTAAGTGACGCTGTGTGGAAGGAAAATGCAGGTAAACTGTAGTCAGACCACTGATGATACTGAAATTCTAAGCCAGGGGTGTCCAATCCTGGTCCTCGAGGGCCACAATCCTGCATGTTTTAGATGTTTCCTTCTTCCAACACACCTGATTCAAATGATCAGCTCNTAAACCTCTGGACTGAGGATAAACGACAGGTTTGCATATAAATGTTTGCCACTAAAACAGTGTGAGCATGAAGTCACTGAAAGCAGGAAGTGATGCTGAGGCTGGACTGTCCCTCCGACACAAAGCTGCCTGTAGAACAGATCTGCAACAAGTGTCCTAAAACTGCAACAAAACACTAAAAAAGCTTGGCATCCCACAACACACACTGAAAGAACAGCTGAGCTTCTCAGGTCATGATAAGTTAAACTATCATTTGTTAAAGCAAACATGCAGCATGTTGTCACCTGGTCATTTAGCTGTTTCCATAGCAACAAGAGCCACACGTGGTTTCAGTGGTGCGATGCAGTTTGACACGTTTTGCCAACACTTTTTGTTAGCTCAGGTTAAAACAAACAAACAGGAAGAAGCTGCACATTTTCACATCACTTTAATGTCAAACAAACAGCAGCAGTGGACTCTCACAGTAACAAGGCTCTAAGAAGCCATGAAGGTCTACATCAGGAGCCTTGTCCTTTTTATAGGTAACCGAAATTATTGACTAATTCGTTTTTGCCTGATCGTTAAAAGTCTTTTTAAGTGAATTAGTGTTTTGTAACTGCATTGAACCTAATATTAAATGTTGAATCTTCTCTTTAAGAGGTTTATATGAAAACGTAAAACTAATATGTGGAAAAAAGTTACTGCTGTGTGGATATGTGTTTAGATGGAGAGGCTGTGAGGAAAACCGGATCAGTTTAGACCAATTTAGAGGTTGAAAAACTGCATTGTTTAAAAAATTCTATCAATCTATACAGTGCTGAGTTCATCTGCTGCAGCTGTTGAAGTGACGGAGACTCTGACAGGAAGTGAGGGAGGAAACATCACTCTACCTACATCTGTAGGAGAACTAGGACTTCTGTTTTATAAAATTACAACTCTGGCCGTAGTGCAAAACTGGGTATTAGACATTTGGCAGCAACATTACAGGGACAGACTTCTCTGGAACAGAACTACTGGACTCTTTACAATCACAGGACTGCGGAAAGATGACTCTGGGATTTATACTGTTGAATCTAAAGGAAAAGGTCTTGTTAAGTCCTACAACCTCACAGTATACGGTAAGCAAACCGACGAGCACCGTCACAGACAACAGTAGAACAATGTTCATGTACAGTTGTGAACAACAGTTTACACTCAGTATTCAGTAGCAGTACAAGTACATATCATGTCAGTCTTTAGTTTCCAATGACTCTTACAAGTCTTAATTTTCCAATCATTTTCAATCATTTTTGTTCTTTCATAGATTTATTAAAGGTCTTTTGGAAATATGACAGAATCTGCTGGGTTCAAAATAAACGTACAGCGACTTGAATTGTCAGTTTAGGTCATGGAGACAATTGGTTTAATTAAATTTTCTTAGTGGCATGACCTGGTACTTTCTTGTACTTCGTTACAATTGACTACAGCTGCTGACTTCTCTGAGTCAATTTAAATAGGACACATTTGATCCACATGTGGCAGTGGAGCTAGAAATCACTGAAATGAAAAGACTTCTATTGTCTTTTGAGTCAGTTGAGCTCCAAACATTTTGTAACTGCTGTAAAAAAAAAAAAAAAGACAATGAGTCCTCACTACTCTACTGTTCTCACCTGTCCTGGATCATTCACACTGTAAGACTAATTTTCCCTTTGAAGACAGAAAGTCCATCTACTATGATTCCCCGTTCACCACAAAATGTGAAAACCAATAAATGAGTGTTTTTCAGTTTCATCTTATCATGAGTCAATGAACATAGTAACACTGTCAACAAAGTGTCTTAATCATAGATTACTGTAAGAAAACGCCTGTGGGCTGAGTGATGTGTGAGGTTCTTCTTTCTAACTCTTTGCTGTGATGGTTCCTCTGCAGATTCTGTGCCTCGTCCTGAAGTCAAAACTCTGAATGTGACCTCTGAGAGCTGCTTCCTGCTGTGTTCTGTGGATAAAGCTACAGAGATCACACTGCGGTGGTACAAAGACGAGGAGATGCTGAAGCAGGTCAGCTCTACTGACTCTCTGCTGCTCACCGTGACCGAGCAGAACCTCAGCTCCTCTTACAGATGTGAGGCTGGAAACCCTGCAGAAAATAGAACTGTTGACGTCGATGTTAAGACGCTCTGCAGTGGATTGAACCACACTGGTGAGACACCATCTGCTGCTTTCTTCTTCTCAATCAAACTGTGTTTCTGTGTTTGTTTTTGTTGATGCTGATGTGAAATGTTCTGACAGGTGATGGTAAAGAACTGGTCTGGTTTTCCCTGCGCCTGGTTCTGTTCTTCTTAGGAATTGGATTTTTTTTTTCTCTCTATAAGATGACAGCCATATACATCAGACAGGTAAGTGTTCTTTTGTCACTGCTCATTTTACAGAACTTTATCTCCAAAATATTTTTAATATGAGACATGAGACATAATATATTAACAATATTNGTTCAGGAAATGTTCCTTGGGTGTTTCCTGGAGGTTCAGCAACCTGTCATTGCCAGGGAATCTTCAGGGAACGTTCTCTTGATGATACCTAAAGGTTATGCAAACAGTTAACTTTATGTTACAGTGAAACATCAGCAAGCTGCCTGGAGTTCACCGTGACTTTGTCAATATAACTAATTAGAATTAGGAAGAAAGCTGGAGCGCTGTTTGATGGGAGTGTTTGGGGTTTGACGGCGGCCGCTCATGTGCCTGCTTGTCCGTACTTGTGTTCTTGCAGACTTGTGAAATGTCCTCCGTTAGGGCCCAAGTACTGCTCCAGTCCAAAGTACGCATCTGTCCAAGTACAGATGAAATGTGTTTTTGTTCTGCCCACATCATCAAGGACGCATCAGACTGGACTTGTGTGGACTTGGGACAGCAAGTGTCCCAGAATGCATTTCCAGCCAACCAGCGGCAAAAGCTGAGGAGAAAACTTTCAAAGGAAATACAAGTTGTTTTTTTTTTGTTTTTTTTTTCAAATACCACTGTTATTGTGAGACAAACGTAGTTTTGTGAGTATTTTAGCCAAGAAAAGTAATTGTATAAACATCAAATCTGTGGTCAATTCATGAAGACAAAGCCTGCTTAAAAACGTGCTCCAACGACTTCAGAGAGTCCACAGAACATCAGCAGCTCCATCCTGGACTTCTGACGGAACATCTTCAGCAGCATGATGCTGTTAATGGAAGCTGAAGGCTGATCAGCTCCACTAAGGAACGTCAGGAGGAAAGCCGCAATGTTTTCATCTGTGATTTATTTTGGGAGGGAATTTAGTCCTGG